CGCAAGCAAGCTAACCAGCACCCTGTAATCAAATTACTGGAAATCGTAATGCTTCTTTTTCAGCCCTTACTCCAGTCATACATCTAAACTCAGCTGATAGAAACAAAAATCTATGTTCTCTATGCTTAAATAGTCTCAAAGAGATCAAAGATACTGATGTGTATCATATTTTCATAACATATTGTTTAGCTCGGACAAAGCCACAACACAGGATGTGCAATACCTGCAAACTGAAAGTAAGTCACTTTCATTCTTACTACACTCAACAGTTTTACACAAATATGCACCTGTTGCAGCTTTACTTTTGATTTTTTATTCTACTCAGGTTATGATATTTGCCAAGAAATTAATCTTACTATATTATTATGGAAAGGTGCACTTCTAGAAATGCATAGGCTTGAATGGTGTCTGGAGCATAGATCCCTTCTTTGTATTTTTGCTGCTAAACAAGCAGCTGATGCCCAAGAAGCATGACATAATCAGAAATGCTGGCTGTTCTTGCTATGTCGTAAGGCCTTCTTCCTGCAGGGCTGGGCTGAGGAGAAAATTTGAACAGGGACAGCCTAGATGGCTTTACAGAGAGTATTCTGGATGAATGTGTGGGTGGATGGATGGATGGATAGATGGATGGATAGGTGTTTGTATAGAAAAAGGAGTATGCAAAGGGGTATAGAGAAGTCTGATCTATTTTTCTCCATCATGCATCTTGGGATACAGTTTGACCAAGAAAATTCTATTCTCATAGGAAAGTAAACCACTCACAAATGTCACTGCCCTGGTATTCTCCTGTAAGTGTCTCCACTCCTGACAACAACACAGTATTTTTCCCCAGCCATAATAACTACAGTCTTGATCCAGGCTGGGTTCACACAAAATGCAAAGCTGAAATGTGATTGGTTAGTCTGCAGCTCAGTCTGCTGTGTAAATCCAATCAGACTGGCTACTTTGGTTCAGCTCAATCTGAGTCGATATGCTGAGCTTTATACTTACCTTTATACAGTATTTTGGGCATTGTTGCAAAGATCAAATAACAGTGGGATCTTTTTGAGAACCCTAAAATGGTGGGGGTGGTTCTTCAACAAATTTCCAATATTTATCTGCAACAGTTCTACAAAGTAAGTTGAGCCACAGAAACCTCCCTCGGAGTTTTCATGGCAGAGGGTGAACTTCAATCTACGTTCTTCTAGTTGTAGTCCAAAGTCTTCGTTCCATCATGTCTTCAAGTCATCTCTGACCCATTGTGACCGCATGGACAACGTTCCTCCAGTCTTTACCATGACACAATATATTTCACCAAAAGACAAACAGTTCTTACAAAACAGAACTGAGCATGCTTTATCACATCTAAATAAACCAATTTGGCTATCTTGAAAGTTCTTGGAAAGATCTTCCAATGTCAGATTACAAGAATAATACCTGAAACCCAAAGCAGGTTCAACGTAGACATAATTCATAAATACTAAGCCACAAAATAGCTGTTTAGTTTTGTTGTATAACCAAAACTAAAATTTATAAGTAATAGTTTGTGGACCACAAACTCAGTCTGTCCAGTATATCCTATTCAGATGAACCATGCTTTAGAACTCAACATTTTGTTTTTTGTAAATCTAGCCACATGTGTTATACTAAACCATGGCTTGGTTTCAAACAGATTCACAAAGTACACATGTAATTTGCTTAGTTGAGATTCAGTTTGTTTTGCAAATTCAGACACTGGTTTAAAAAAACGGATTATAGTTTATTGTTGGATAAATCCAGAAAGCTGTGGTTTATTTAATAATCCATAATTGAACAATCCAGACTTAGCATATTATGTGAACACATCCTTAGTTATCTTATCCCAAAAGAGACATCAGTCCCAATGAAAGGGAGTTTGTATCCACCAAAAACAATCCATATCACATGTTGGTTTAGCAATGTATAATTGCAAAACTCTAATCTTATGCAGAGTAATGCACATTTAAATACACTGAAATAATTATTTTAAACATTCCTTAAATGCTTCAGGAGAGATCCAGGTTGGTGGAGTGGATAAGGCACCAGACTAGAAACCAAGAGACTATGAATTCAAGTCCTGCTTCGATATGAAGCCCGCTAGGTGACCTTGAGCCAGTCACTCTCTCTCAGCCCTAAGAAAACAGGGAAGAGCAAATCACTTCTGAAAAAACTTGCCAAGAAGCCTGCAGGGGCTTGTTCAGCCAGTAGCCAGGGGTCAGCACTGATCCTAAGACACAAAAATAAATAAATGCTCCAGGAGGCTCAGGTTACAAGGCTCCATGAAAGTTAACATTCAAGCAAAGGTTACAGTTGATTGTGCAAGTCTAAATCTGATTTCTACAACATTTCTTGTACAGTAGAAAGTAGCTGAAAGGCAGACATAATAATGGAATTTGGGAAATTGTTCAAGAGCAGATTGTCTTACTAATGTTGTGGAAATGTTAGTTTTAATTCATTATTATTAACCAAATTTTGAAGATACAATGTTTCCTAATTGCTGTGCTCTTGTAAAAGAATCTCAACCTGAATTTACAGCTGTAAGAAATCAATCATTATGAAACTGCCTACGTGCTGTAAAAAGCGTTCTGATAAATGCTAAAGCATTTAAATGCTTTACCATTTAATAAATTAAATAAATAAATTTAATAAATGGTAAAGCATTCAGAAAAATGTATATTCCGAAATGTATATTCAAATAATAATTTGGAGAAATTAATTTGATCTTCTGGTTTTTCTCATGGAAGTTAAACATGGCATAGCCATGGGGGGTGGCGGGCGGGGGGGGGGTAAGCAAACATCCAATAAAAAAAATCTTGCCTTTTAGCTGTCTTTATCAGTTATCTTCCTCCACAACACTTCAAACTTGGTAGCATCCCATCTTCTTCTGACACCTAAAGATTTCAGAAGATCACACCCTAAGCTCATTTAGAAGTTACGCTATCCTTCTGGTCTAACTCAACTCCGGCTGCCTGCATGGACGTACCCATACAATCTTCTTGGCAACACTGTGGAAGGTATTTTCTACTGCCCTCTTCCTTTTTAAACAGCTTTGGGGTTTCCTAGTGGTCTCCAATCTAGATCCACTACTGTTTTAACCTTTCCAAAGTCAATCCAAGTCAGCTAAATACTATGTCTTATGTGACATTTAAGCCAGAGCTAATCAGAAAACCTGAACAGATCAGGATCTGACTCAAATTGCAAGAGCAGTGAGATTGGAGAACTGCCTTAAGATCTTCACAATCTCTTTAAAAGCGTTTACCTTTTGAACACCACTTTGGTTTAAAAAAAACAACACAGAACTACTTACCACTCACTGGTAACCCAGACCAATTTAATACAGTGCACAAACTGTGCTCTTCTTGTAGCTGAAAGTCCCCAGACTATTTGCCTGTAAATTTCAACTACAGCAGAATCCAATGTAAAAATAAATTCCTCCCTTGAGTCTCTCACTATGAAAACCACTTTTCTTATCCCCAAAGAATGAGCCAGTCAGCAAGTCCCCTTCTTAGAAAAAACAAACATGTGGCAATTGAGTCAAATACAGTACCAATCTGTGCAGTACCAAATCTGCCAAAAGCCATTCTCCTCCACCAACATTTTAATTTCTCATATTGAGATATTAGTTTCACCCAAAATTTAAACTACTGCTGTCCATTGTGTTCTAACAGATAGATGACAGTCCCTTACTAGGGATTTGTGGCAGGCGGGGGGCATCATAGGGAGAACCAGATAACAAAAACTGCTTTTCTAGATTTGTTAGTCAGAGAAGATATTACCAGATTCCTGTACTTTAATAGCAATAGCACTTATATACTGCTCCACAGTGCTTTACAGCCCTAAGTGGTTTATAGAGTCAGCATTTTGCCCCAGCAATCTGGGTCCTCGTTTTATTGACCTCAGAAGGATGGAAGACTGAGTCAAACTTGAGCCAGTCAGGATGGAACTCCTGGCTGTGGGCAGAATTAACAGGCATCTTTTAACAAAGCTTTTCTAGAGAAACCCATGCTCTAACCTCTTCAGCCAAGAGTCCTCTAATGCTCTGTTTAGAGAGCTCCATTTATAAAGAAAAGAAGCATCTCTTTACTCAAACAACCTCCCGCCAGCTGAAACCCAAACCACAGATTTCCTTCTATGAAAGGTGTCACAACCCCACCTTTCTTACATTGGCTACTTCCTAACATATGATGCATGGTGGCAACTAGGTTACTCCATATTGGGAGGCAGAGGGGAAGGAGATGGGGGGGGGGAGAGAGAGGGAGAGGGAGGGAGAGAGGAACAGAAGGAGAAAGAGAGAAAAGGCAGAAGAGGAAGGGAGGGAGGGAGAGAAAAGAGAGAAATGGAGGGAGAGGGAAGAGAGATAGAAAAAGAAATGGAAGGAGCGGGAGAAAGAGGGAAAAAGAGAAATAGAGAGGGAGGGAGAGAGAGAGAGAAACAAAAAGAGAGGGAGAGAAGGGAGGGAGGGAGGGAAGGAGAAGCGGAGGAGGAGGAGAAGCAAATAGCACACCACGTTCTTTCTTAAGCCTGCAAAAACTGAAGAGGGGAGGAAAAAAAGTTCCAGGGTTAAAAGAGCTGCCGGGATTTAAGTTTCTCAGCAATGTAAACAACAAGCAGCCTGCTCGAAAGTCGGCTCAAAGTCTCCCCTGGAAGTCTCAAGCATCTCGCCTGGAAGGGACCATTCTAAGGCCGAAGCTCAGACCGGCTTCAAGTGTCTCCCCCCCCCCCCCCCCCCTCCCGAGGCTAGGAAGGTGCATCTTCCTCCTCCTCCTCCTCCTCCTCTCAAGCCGTCAGGGATCGGCGCTCTTCTCATGCTCAGAGGCACGCGCTCCCTCGCCCCGCCACCTAGACAAAAAGTCCCGAGGGCGCGGAAGAGCTTTGCTCCCGGAATTCGATCCCGGCTGTCAAGCGCGATTCTGCAACTCACCGGCTTCGCCGCCAACCGCGCCCCGGCCACCCCCCACCCCCTACGCAGACCCGTCCGCGGATGCCAAACCTCTCGGGCTCACCTAGGCTCTGCCTTCGCCGCCTGCCATGTGGACTGCCCGGAGAGGCTGGCGGGCTGGCTCCCTTGCCCGGGCAGCCTTAGGCCCAGACAGACTCCGCTGCCTCCGAGGCCGAAGGTCTCCCTCCTCCTGCCAGCAGCCAGAGAGAGAGAGAGAGAGAGAGGCGGGAGGGAGCGAGGGAGGCGGCCGGTTCGTGGAGCCTCTCAGCCCGGGCTCCTTGCTGCCGCGACTGCACCAGGCGGCTGCAGTTGCCTGTCAAAAGGCTGGCGGCCAAGGGAGGGCAGCGTCGGGCTTACCTCACCTGCGGTAACTCATGGCATGGCATAAGGCAGCCCAGGCGGGCGGCGTGGCGTGGCGTGGCGAGCGCCGGGGGCTTCTTCTTCCTCGCAGCCCAAGTCGGTCCCGAGGCTCGCCCTGTCTCGTCACGGCCAGCGCGAGCCAGGCAGCAGCGCGAGGGAAACGCGCGACGGGGACCCGGCAGAAGCGCCTTAGCCGGCCCCGCCCGCCGGTGGGCGGGACTGTTGAAGGCACCGCCCCTCCCCCCACCCCCGGTGAAAAGCGCAAGGGTGGGGGGGGGAGGAGGGAGAGAGATTCCGAGGAGGGACGGAGTTCTTAGCCCGGGAATCTGTGGAGAAGGTCCCGAATCGGCACGGAGTTCACGCGGATCCCGCTCGCGCATTCCCTATTCACGTTTTAGCAAACTGGAAGGGCAGGGTCGTACCTCAGGCCTAGCGGGCGAGTCAACTTTTCAGGGTATGCTTAATGTTCGCGGGTGTTTGCGTATATGTGTACACACCCACACGCCTTCCTGCTGTCCGTAGTAGTTAAGCCTGCATAGCTGGATGGGCAGGCAGACATAAACGCAAAAGGGTTTTGTAGGCATGTGCTGAGTAAGGCAATAGCGTTGAGGAATCTCAATTACACACGACAGGTAGTCCTCGACTTACAACAGTTCATTGAGTGACAGTTCAAAGTCACCAGGGCACTGAAAAAAGAGGCTCATGACCATTTTTTTCAGAGTTAGGACCTTTGCAGCTTTCCGATGATCATGTGATCAGAATTCAAATGCGTGGCAACTGGTTCATACTTACCACCTGTTGCTGTGTCCCAAGATCATGTGATCACCTTTTGCAACCTTCTGTCAAGCAAAGTTATTGGGGAAGCCAGGGTTACTAACTTACCAACTGCAGCGATTCACGGTTGCAAGAAAGGTTGTAAAAGGGGGCAAACCTTGCTTAACAAATATTTCACTTAACAACAGAAATTTTGGGCTCAACTGTGGTCATAAGTCAAGGATTACCTATAAGGAAGTAGGGTTTATAGAATTTTTATAAGACTTTTTCTGATACTTCGGCCAGGAAATAGGGATTAGAGAGTAGGCCATGAATGGATGCTTCAACCAAGTTTCCTTACCATTTTTTTTCCTACCACAGAATGGTCAAATTCACACATTTTAAATCCTAATGTAGATCGTGGACTTGGAATTTAGCACGATGTGTTATTTCAACTGACTTTCCTCCACATGCTTGGCTGAAAAGTGATTGGTTAAATTGTGGTTCGGTTTTATGCAAGCCTATCCACTCTAGTATGTCACCGATAAGTTATGGTTCATTCTATAAAGACTAGTGTGCTGCTGTGTGAACAGTGTCATTGCGGCTCGGGATTAAAGGTGAATGAAGAGCCTTTTTCAACAAATCAGTTAAGAATTCTGGCTACAAGTGCTATGTTAGTTGGTCCTACTAAGGTTGTGTTTAGTAGCATAGCCATCAGTTTTAATTACAAATAATTACTGCAAAAGCTTCTTAAATATCTTCTGCCTTATTAAGTGGGATAAATTTTTAAATGATCATATGATCATCACTTGACTAAACTTAGCAAATGTTTAAGTATTGCAGGATACATTATTTGTATTGTTATTACTAACATCATCTAAATGCTTTATTCTTTCTCATGGACAAATGTAGATCCAGCTACCAATTTATAATCTATACCAGGGATGTCATTCATCCACTGATACTAAACAACTCCCAGAAGCCCTGCCAAAATGCTCAATGATAAAATGATAAATGCTTGGTGTTGTATTCAATAACATATGGAAAACAGCAGGTTCCCTATTCTAAAAGAGTGAAGAAATATATATACAATATTTCCCCATTTTACGATAACTCCTACATATTCTTCATGTAACAACTTTACGTTTGGTATAATTACATAATTATTTGGTATAATTACATAAATAAATTTTGAGGATGCCAACTTTTTAAAAGTCTCTTTTGAAAATAAAAGATAAAAATGCTCTTTCCTATGGCAGAGAGGAAGGTAAGGTTTACCATGAGACTGCAAAGATACCCTATCTTGTCTTCTCCTTAGCTGGAGATATCTGAGATAATCAATAGATGGCAGCAAAAAGCAGGGTTTTTTTCCTTCTATGCTATTGCTGCCATCCAGTGGTATTCTGGGTACATGCAATCAAGATACTAGAAACCTTCAGCTGCCTATAAACAAGCATCCTGTCACTTTACACTTTTTCCCTCATCAACCAAAAATTGACAGGAGAGAGCTGATTGACGATGAACAAAATAGAAACATTGTCTGCATTTATAGTGTAAGCCAAGCCATAATACTGTTTCTCTGTGGCTTCTTGTGTCCTGTGAACTCAGCTGTTGGTATTTAATGTATGGCCTTAGCTGAAACTGTAATATTATTTCTTTTTAAAGAAATCATGGTTAAAGCTAAACATATTGTGCAACCCGGTTTATTGCCTTCTTATAGTTTTCCTTACCAGTTTAACTAAACAATCTTGGGATTTATAGATCATCTCCCATCCAAATACTAATTAGGTCTCACTCTGTTTAGTTTCTTTCTCTTTTCATTTACTTAAAAAATATTAATGGTTCTGCTTAGTTTCCAAGCCCAGAGAGAGTCAGCCACATGCCACTACACAATTACTAGCTTGGGTCAGGGCAGCTAGTAGCAAATCAGTGGCTGAGCCTTGAGTCCAGGCTCATTTAAAAATTTGTTAGACATAAAATTGCTCCTGAAGTTGCATATCATTTAGTTAGAGCAGTTACAGAATACCTATATATAACCATTACATACACAAACACACACATATCTGCTTATCATTTTATATATATAGTCAATTGTAGCTGCTCTGACTAATAGATTTCTGCCCACATGGATTAAGCAAACTGCATTATCCCATATGCTGCAGCTCTGTGAATGCCAATCTATCAATTGCCATTGAAAATAGGTTCTGTACAATGTTCCTTCCCTGTCTCTCTGATTTAAAAATATTTGGAGGTGAAAACGAGAAAGTATCTTGTTTCCAATACAAAATGAAAAGCTATCCAAAATTCTGATTGAGTGGATCTTGTGATAATTGGGAAATCTCACCTCTCCAATGAAGTAAAGGAAGAAGAATTGAATATTTCTGTAAAAAAGTTTTTATAAATACATAATTGCATAAGCATTTTAGGTATCTCATATGTTTGTAACTAAATGTTTGCATGGGACAATCATGGTATTAGAGGTCATCTACCCATCTACAATTGTGGGGGGAAAGGGGAATCTGTGGTAGAAGTTGGACTTTCCCAAAGGTGCTTTTTTTCAAGAGGCAACGGGACCTTCTGGTTTTTCTCTGAAGACATTTCACTTCTCATCCAAGGAGCTTCTTCAGCTCTGAAGTTGATGCACCAAGTAACACTTCTGTGATGATGATTCAGAGCTGAAGAAGCTTCTTGGATGAGAAGCAAAACGTCTTCAAAGAAAAACCAGAAAGTCCAATTGTCTCTTGAAAAAAAAGCATCTTTGGGACAACTATGACCCGGATGACTGTGAATCTCCATAGACACCACACTGAACTTTCATTCAGCATTTTAGAACATTTGACCAAAACATCACAGCATCTTATTCCCCAACATAGTGTGCACTAATGAACATCCGTGTGCCTAATACACGGGTGTCAAACTCGATCACGCTGCATGACGTATTGAGACATATCGCAATGTTTTTTGCCTTTGCGGAGCCGGGGTGGGTGTGGCCCTGCGCACGACATATCTGGCCTGTGGGCCGCCAATTTAACACCTGTGACCTAATAGGACTTTTGATGTGTGCCAGCTGACTGTCCAGCCTGATGTTTTATTATTCTTAAATAATAATCCTCGACCTATGACCGGTTGCTTAACCACCTTTTGAAGTTACAACAGCTCAAAACTACTTATGACCCATTTCGGAAGTTATGGTAGCCACACACCTCTGGAGTCACTTGATCACATTTTCAGTGCTTGGCAACCAGCTCACTTTCATGGCCATTGACATCATCCCATGGTCACATGACTGCAATTTGCAATGGTTTTTACCAGTCTCTGTGTTTATTTTCAGCTTCTGAAAAAATATGCCCACTGGGGAAAATTGATTTGCCTAACAACTATGGTATTCATTTTAATGACCGACATAAAAAATGTCAAAGAACCAGGTCTGGTCATGTGATGCTTCAACTTACAATCACAAGTCTGTAGGAAACGTGGAAGGAAATCTCACTGTACATACACTGACCTTCTTGTTTGATGATTAAAACCTTGTGAAGCCCTCAGCAAGAATGGAGGACTGGGAAGGGCAAGGAGGAAAGCATATTGAAGCAGAAACTGAGGTGGGAAAACCGATTGAAAAGTGGAGGCCCATTAGCATTAGGAGAGCATGAGAACCTTGGCTCAATATTGTAAAGACCATCAGTTGGAGATAAAACTAAAATTAGGGTGTTTTGCAAAAGAACCTGGAACATCAATAAGACGCACAAGTTAAATCCCTAGGTTGATATTTCATGCCTGGGGTAGTCAAAGGGCACATGGAACAATGCTGCATTCACAGCACAGAAAACCCCAGCAGTCATTTTTGGGCTTCAATAAAGGAAAATTTTCATAGCTTAGGGTTGAAATGAGAGGTCCTTGGTGATCTCTGAGCTTGGTTGTTTTCTTACAGATGTTTTCCTACCCAAACTAGGCAACATCAGTAACTAGCACAGGTGATGTTACCTAGTTTGGGTAATGAAATGTCTGCAAGAAAATAACTAAGTTCAGAGAGCAACAAGAACACCTCATTTTGGGTTTTACTGGAGAAAAAAGACCTGATCTTCCAGCAACTCTAATATTGCATTGCTCTCTGCTGGCCTTTAGACATATTAAAGTTTAAGGAAATAAAATGTGGAGGAAAGCAGGGTGTGGGAATCTCATCCAGAGAAAGAGATATATTGCTTTATAGCAGGGGTGTCAAACTCACGGCGTCAT